ACAAAGATAAATCATTTCGGAACTTTTTTCTGCCTTTAATGAGACCTATGAACTGTACCAAGGGACGTGGTGGTGCTGCGGGCTAAACCGCAGAAGCCTGTGCTGCACGGTCAGAAGACCAAGTAGTTGTAAGATCGAATCCACAGGACGGAGTGAGCTCCGGTCGCTTGTCCCAGCTCCCGCCAACCTAGCGGTTCGAAAGCATGCAAATGCGAGTAGATTAATAGGGACCACCTCGGTGGGAAGGTAACAGCGTTCCGTGTCTAAGTCGCACTGGCCATGTGACAACGGAAGACTGTCTTCGGACAAACGCTGGCTCTATGGCTTGGAAACGGGGATGAGCACCGCCCCCTAGAGTCGAACACGACTGGACAAAAATTGTCAAGGGGAACCTTTACCTTTACTTTTACTTTATGAACTGTACAACTCAGTTGAACAACAAACTAAAATCTTTTAGGTGGAGGGAAGTAAAAATAAAAAACTGAAATAATATGATTGCCTCTGTGTCCACACCCTTAAACTAATACTTTGTTGAAGCACCTTTTGATTTTATTACAGCACTCAGCCTTTTTGGGTATGAGTCTATCAGTATGGCACATCTTGATTTGGCAATCTCTGTCAGACTGCAAGGGTGTCTCCTGTGCACAGCCCTCTTCAGATCATCCCACAGATGTTCAATCGGATTCAGGTCTGGGCTCTGGCTGGGCCATTTCAAAATGTTAATCTTCTTCTGGTGAAGCCATTCCTTTCTTGATTTAGATGTATGCTTTGGGTTGTTGTCATGCTGAAAGATGAAGTTCCTCCTCATGTTCAGCTTTCTAGCAGGAGCCTGAAGGTTTTGTGCCAATATTGACTGGTATTTGGAACTGTTCATAATTCTCTCTACCTTGACTAGAGTCCCTGTCCCAGCTGAAGAAAAACAGCCCCAAAGCATGATGCTGCCACCACCATGCTTCACTGTGGGTATGGTGTTGTTTTGGTGATGTGCAGTGTTGTTTTTGCGCCAAACATATCTTTTGGAATTAGGGTCGAAAAGTTCAACCTTGGTTTTATCAGACCACAACACTTTTCTCCTCATGCTTTTGCAAAATTTAGCAGGGCTTGAATTTTTTTCTTCATAGGAAAAGGCTTCCATCTTGCCACTCTAGCCCATAGCCCAGACATATGAAGAATATGGGAGATTGTTGTCACATGTACCACAAAGCCACTACTTGCCAGATATTCCTGCAGCTCTTTTAATGTTGCTGTAGGCCTCTTGGTAGCCTCCCTGACCCATTTTCTTCTAGCCTTTTCATCTATTTTGCAGGGACTTCTAGTGCTTGGTAATGTCACTGTTTTGCCATATTTTCTCCACTTGATGATGACTGTCTTCACTGTGTTCCATGGTATATCTAATGCCTTGGAAATTCTTTTGTACCCTTCTCCTGCATGATACCTTTTAACAATGAGATCCCTCTGATGCTTTGGAAGCTCTCTGCGGACCATGGCTTCTGCTGTAGGATGTGACTAAGAAAATGTCAGGAAAGTCCTACTAGCACAGCTGATCTTTATTTGGGATTCCTCAGAGGCACTTTGAATGATGTCAGGGGTGTACTGACTCCTATTTAACATTAGTTTGAATGTGATTGCTGAACACAGCTACATCCCCACTTATAAGATGTGCACACAGAGGCAACCATATTATTTCAGTTTTCTATTTTTACTTCCTTCCACCTAAAAGATTTCAGTTTGTTGTTCAATTGAGTTGTACAGTTCATAGGTCTCATTAAAGGTGGAAAAAGTTCTGAAATGATTTACCTTTGTCTTATTTTTTTTACATCACAGACACTTGACATGTTAACGGGGGGGTGTAAAATGTTTATATCCACTGTACTTGCCTCATTTTATTTGTCCTTGTTGCCCCCCCCCATATGACTGTTTGTCACATTGACTTTCTAATGATTTTTAAATGTTTGTGGGACCCTCGTTCCAAGAACAGTGCAGAAAGGGATGTCCCCTTTCAATTGGCCCCCTTTAAAGGAGAAAAGTGGAGTAAAAATATCTCAAATAAAATTAAATAAATTAGATTCTTCCTGGTGGGGAAGGACTTCAGTTTGCCACTTCAAGCAGCAAGATAAAATGTACAGCATACCTTATGATATGTGTTCAGAACTTACAGTAGTCTGAAAAGCATGCCTTAACTGAATGTTTGTTCTTTTAGTAGTGCCTCCTGAGGGAGGAGCAAAATGTTCCCTGAGAAAAACCCCCAAAATCTTATAGTGTTGTATTCTGGTTTGCTGTACTTTATGGCTACCTGCATGCCCAATGCTACAGCCTGGAATAAATGTGGTAATTAATAATCATGGAGTACATGTGACTACATCAGAAACCCATAGCAAATAAGACTGAACCATATGACAATGTGACTGAAAACAAAGCCAACTCAGAGTGACATCAACAGTATCTCTATTGCATTGCTCTCACTCTGAACAGATAGGTTAGTCACCTGTTGATGTCACCTCTAAATAAGCACCAAAAGAGGGAAGATTTCCAGGGCTACCTGCAGTGTTTGTGAAAAGCATCCTTTTCAACTCACTCAAAATAAAACATGCCATTATTTCACTAAGCTCTCTTTAATAAAGCAAATTTCAGGGCCACAAATTTCATATAAAGATGTATCAGTTAAGCACACTGGTGGGGTGGGTAGACATCTGGTTCATAACTTTGGACTCTGTTTTGTGTAGCTGTTGGAAAATACCGTAAACTAGATTGAGCTACAAATGGACCCAAACTGAGCTATATCACTGGCAGATCACACACTGGCTTAAATGTAGAGTATGCCTTAGAGCAGTGGTTCTGCAACTCCCAGAAACCTTGGCTAGCACAGCAGGTGGTGAAGGCTTCTGGGAATTGCAGTCCAAGAACACTTGGGAACCACTGCCTTAAGAGTCCTTGATATTTTCCCTTCCTTCCTGTTGTTCCTTTTTTAGCTGCCTTTCCTCTTTCCTCCATCTTCTGCTCTCAAAAGATGGAGATATAGTTCCACTTTCTATAAAGGAAAGAACAAAAGCATGTACTGTATGCCTACGCTGGGCACATTTAAGAAACAGCTAAAAACATGGTTATACGTTCAGGCCTTCCCTCCTGTCAGTACTTAATTTCCTTTCTCTTTCTATCTATTTGTTTTATTATATGTGGTGCTGTTTACTTGTAATAATTTTATGCTTTATTGTATTTTTTTATGGAAGCCACTCAGAGTGGTGAATCTGACCAGATGAGCGGGATATAAATC